AGAAGCAAACAACCTGCTCCAGCAATTTTGCACTGGTGTTGAACAGTTGTATGGCCCAGAAGAAATCACACCGAACATGCACCTGCATATGCATTTGAACGCGACGATCGAGGATTTTGGGCCGTTGTACGCATACTGGCTCTTCTCGTTTGAACGGTACAACGGTTATCTGAAAGAGATCGACACTAATCAGAAAGACTCGTTTGAAATCACGTTTATGAAGAAGTTCTTACAGAAGACTGGTGCTCGCGATTTTGTCCGTTCGTTTGAAGCCCACTTCCAGCACCACCAACACCATTTCTCTTTTTTGAATCGGTTCCTTGACCTTGTACAGCCATCCCACGCGCAGCTGATGTTGTCCAGCGTCAATTCGATGTTCATGCGTTTTTGGCGTTGTCGACGGATGTTGGTACCATCCACTACTACCCCTTGCATTATGGACGGATAGCGTTTATGCCTGAGCAACTGTACAGTTTCTTGTTGGCATTTTACCGTGCTGTATATGACGATCAACTCGTTCACTATACCCAAGCTGGTGATGGCAAGTTTTCATCAGTAACCAGTACTGGAAAATGAAGATGATAACGATGATGAGGCGGATTTACTGCAGTGCTGAAGCGAGATCGCGACGTGGTGCCCACGCTCAAGTTCTGTTCCACGTAGACGATCGCGGAGAAGCAATGGCCTGGCCATGCGAGATCCAATTTTTCTTTCGGCATGTGCAGTTGATTCGTGGGCAGCAGAGAGAGCATGTTTTTGCATATGTTCGATGGTACAGCATCCACAGAGACAATGACGGCCGACGATTCGTGGATCCCTACGTTGAAACTTGGTGTAGTCGTTTTCGAGGCGAAGCGATGGATTGTATTGTACCGGTCCATCGCTTATATGGACAAGTTGCTGTTGTGAAACTGGGTGCACAAACTAGTGCAAATGCTAGAACAGTAGTCCTTCCCTTGGCGAAAAAGATGCTAGCATAATCAAAGCGTTGACTTTTCTTATCCGTCCCTTCTAAGTTTCCACTATTATTGATGAGTTAAAGTGTTGTATATCGCAAAGGGAAATTCGGTAACTAAGTTGCAAAAAAAAAGATGAATTTAATTCGAGATCCAATGCGGTGCGAACGAAAGAAGAGCAAAGCTACCAGCAGCTGTATACACACCACGTACCAATTCGTATTATCCAGTAGCTTATGGGAATGGTTGTTAAGACTTTTTATCGAACTTGAATTGAAACTAATCGTACAGCAAGATGTTATGGTTACCAGATTAGACGAAAGCTTTTCCACTGTTGCTGTTTGTAATGCTTTAACGAGCACATTGAGTGACTCTGTTGTCTGTGCTGCATTAAGAGATGACAAAGAAGTGACGTGTCTAAGAGCAGTGGCCAAAAAAGAAAAAAGATACATTTACCATGAGTGATATTTTTTATAGACTCCCCCCACTCCGAAAACAACAGCTGCATATGCAATAGTAACTTTTCTTTTGCCCACCCCTTACCCACACGACACGAAGCCGTGCAACCATTTTTTTTTATTTTTTATTCCTAAAAATCAACTGCCCAACCCTCCAATTGCGCTCTTGCATCGTCAGACAAAGGTGCACCACCAACACCATCCACCCGCATCAATCTATTGACGTCTGCGTCCGGTCTCAGTCCGTCGAGTGTGCATAAGAACTCATTTGCCTACAAACGATTTGTCAAACACAACTTCGACGCATTTACCAAACAAGCACACAACAATTACCCTCTCACTCCTCTACAAGGGCTTAAGTACAAACAAACGCTTGTCACCATCACCTTCGACGTCCGTCTCTTCTTCCGACATGTACTCCAATTGGAGCAATGCCTCCCCTCCCCGATATATTGCATCCACCTGTGCCTGATGCTGTCGGTAAACTTGAAGTCGGTGCTTGTACTTCTACTTTCTGTGTCAGAACTGAATATGCTAAAAAGAATGGATGGTTGTTTCTTTTTCTTACACTGTGGCGACGACTATTTCGGCGAGTTGACACTTTTCTTTGTGCTGCACGCACAGCCGACCGACGACCCTCACGACGCATATTAGCAAAAAAGTCGTAAATCTTTGTAGACAGTTCAGCGTGTGATAACTGGTACCGTCCACCACCATCGATGTACGACATGATGCGGGTACGAGCAGCGCGATTGCGTGCTGAACGATAATCGGCATCTAACTGGAAGCCGCCGTCTCCCAGAGAACGATGGAAATGGCGGATTGCGCACTATAATTTGATGATACTATTAATCGGCTATTTACCTAGATATATCCATTAGTTTTCTTACAGAAACATGCCACAAACGATGCACTGGAGGTTGTTGCATTGGAACCTCGGCTCGAGCTGGATGTTCAGCAGGAGAGTGCACAGGTTGCTGCTGTATGGCCAGGTTCTGTCTGGCAACGACGTTCCCCATCGCTTCAAATTGGTTCTCCAGCACCAAGTTTCGCGCCTCCAATGCCCTGAGGCGATCCTCCATATTCAAAACGACGTTCCTAGCGTTCTCTTACTCAACTGCCGCCCTACGCTCGGCGCTCCGTTGCTCTCTGGCGGCATTCCGTTCTCCTACAGTAGGTATCTACACAGAGTCTTAATATACAACACTCAATGGATGTACACTAACTGCTACCTATTCACTTTTTTTTGGTAGTTAAACGTGAGGGAAGGTAAAGCAAAAAGAAGGCAGATTGTATTGAGGGGTTTTTAAGGGGAACACTGTATCATAGGATAGATCGATCGATGGTCTCCTTCCTATGCATAGTGAGGATGGAAAAGAAGCTAGTCTGCATGTACGGCTTTCTTTTCTTTTTTCGTGTTTTCCACATATCCATTTTTTATCTCTTTCTTTCACTTTTTCCACTTTTCATACTTCTCCTGTCCTTTTCCAATTGCCAAGTACCCATTCACCAGGTATGTTATATCATCATGTACTATACGCTGTGTGCTATATGATTGTTGATATGTGTAAGCTCTTGCTATATGCTTATAGCTCTTGTTGATTATGTTCTTTAGGTTATAGCTTTCATTTTCGCTATCAGGATCGGGTGGTTATAATGTAAGGTTTCTCTCCGTTTCTTTTTTATATGGTCTCTACAAATACGTACAAGCATTGACTACTAACACTCTATCATGCTATAAGATATATCATCCACTCGACTGGTTGCTAGTAAATCTCAACGTGTCTCAAGTAGTAATACCTATGGTAAGTCTCAAACGGCTTTTATTCCCTTTTCCTTACTACCTCTGTTCTCCAAACTAATAACTGCTCAATCTCTTTATGCGGTCTTCCAATTGACGACACTGCTCCATTCCGCACTTTACCATCTGGACATTTCGCTTTTGCTTTCTACCATTCTACTATATTTCGCTCTCCTCTCTATCACCACCGTTCATTATAGTATAAATCGACTACATTAGTACTAGTTTCCTTCTATCAATACTTGCTCCTGTTTTCTTTTGATGCTTGTAAAATTCTAGCCAATGACTATAATAAAATAAAATCATTTCATTCAACTACAACGTAAATAATTTTACAATATCCATAACCTATTGGACAGATCATACCGCTATCATTTTAATTCTATCTACACCTCCCTATACGCTAAATCATGCACATACAGACCTCTGTAAAGAAATTGAGCAACACCCCTTTTTATGGAGCAACCCCTATTTCCGCGTGCATGCAGCAAAATATCACCATGCTCAAAACATGGTGATATGTTACATTTCACCAGGTTTCTGTAAAAATTTCACCATGTTAAAAAACCTGGTGAAATATACCTATCACCCTAATATCACCTGGATATCACCCTGTTTTTTACCTGGTGATATTCCCCTACCCACCCAGTGAGAATGGAGAACAATTTGACAGCAGACACTTGAAACAAAAACAAAGCCGGAGGGAAAAGACAACAACAAATTACTGGTGGGACAAAGCACGGATCCTTTTACAAACACACTGACGATTCTACTGCAAAGATCTCAACACAAGATGCAGTAATGGAATGGCCATTTGAAGCAGGGGACGATCCAAGGGTTAAAGAGAAGAAAAGGGGGACAAACAGTTCAAAGCTATACACTATGAAGGAGCTTTGCTTAACCGCCGGTCTCTTAAGATCTCGCTCTTAGGCATCGTGCATTTTGATATAGGACTGTTACGGTGAATTTGGGGTATTCCAGGTAGTTGCGTAACGGTTTATGTGTATGTTTAATAGTGAGCACCAGTAATAATATCGTTTATTACAGACGGGTTGTGAAGTGATATGAGTGTAGAGTAAGGTGAAAATGTGTATGGGTTATGTCCAAGGTTGTAAATAGTAGGGAGCTGTTGTCTTGATTAAGCTCAGTGAGTAGAAATGAGGATCAGGGATGTTACGTCTGTCCAAAATGAATGAGGAATAAGGATCAGGAATGATACGCCTGTCCACGTAAATGAGAAATAAGAGCAGGAATGTTACGTCTGGTCTTAATAGAAGAGTTTATTTAGCTTCAGTTATGAGCAATAAACAATATGTAAGATAAAACAAGCCGTGTTTAGGTCTTGATTGATTGAAAACAATACTTGAAAAGTTAAGTCAAAAGTGGGAGGTAGAAATTCAATGTCTTTATTCAAATAAAAATGATGGGGTATTTATATCTTTCTGGTTATTTAATAATGTCTAAGATAATTCATGCTGCGGTTGCTGCGCAACGCCAATGCTGCGGTAGCTTGCTGTTACTACAGATGCTGCGGTAGCTTGCTGTTACTACAGATGCTGCGGTAGTTGTTGTTACTGCGGATGCTGCGGTAATGCTCTTATTCAACAAGCTGTTCATCGAATCTTTACAAGGTAAAGAGGTTCGTTCTATTTATAGTTGTTCCTTTTGATAATTTGGGGGTGCAAGAGAGTTGTAGAGTTGCTGCGGTTGCTGCGGTAGTTATGTATTGTATTCTGTTTGCCGCTTGGTGTGTGGTTCTTTTGTATGTTTGGTTTATTTGGTATGGGTGGTTCTCGGGGTAACACACCTCCTCGGGCCCAGAAAAAGATGGTCCCACATCGTTTAAATTGTTGTATAATGGATCGTAAGGTCGCTCTGTATGTGCGTCGGCGCTCCATCCGTTCGTATTTTTGTTGTAATTCTTTGTGATGTTCCTTGGATCGTAAAGTCACGCTGTGTATGTGTTGGTGCTCCATCCTTTTGGTTTGTTGTGTTGATTGTGTGGATCGTAAAGTCGCTCTGTGTGTTTCGGTGCTCCATCCATTCGATTGCATTGATAATTTGTGTATGGATCGTAGAGTCGCTTTGTGTATGTGTTGGCGCTCCCTTGTATTGTTGTGGATTTGGTTACGGATCGTAGAGTCACTCTGTGTGTTTCGGCGCTCCATCCTTTTACTTGAATTGTCTCTTGGTGTCATTGTAATGGTTGTTGTGTGTTTGTATTATGTGTATGACTAGTTTTCCCTTTTAACTGTACCCAATTTGAATATTTATTTGTGTATAAGATGTATATGTGTGTATGAGTGTGGTACAGTTGATAGATAGATATATGATATGTAATAAGAATGTTTTGTGGGAGTTTTTTGTGTTATATGATTTTTTTTTCTACATTTTTGTGGGTTACAGCAAGGTTTTTGTTTGGTAGTCGTCTATTCGTGCCCTTCTTGGTAGTTGCCAAACATTAGGCGGCAACAATCTTGGCAGTATGTATTTATGGGTATCCAAGTGAATGTATTCTGCAGGATAATGTTCAGGACGATAGATCTCACTTGATCCTCTGTGAAATATGCTTGAGGCCGAACGCGGAACCTCGCTACAAGCCTATTTGTGTGGCCTGCTAATTGCATCAGCTGTTCGTTGGCGTATTCCCTCATAGCCAATAGTGTGGTGGCTTCCGAGAACTTGCTGATAAGCTCGATGTGCGTATTCGAATCCTCTTGGACGAGGCTTGCGATCCTTTCGTAAGTGGTTTCGACGTTTCCCTTCGTAATTGCTGGTATTGGTGTTGGTAATGTAGACGTAGCCGATCGCTCGTCAATGTCCATGGGGTCAGTTCCATGGCTACTTGTGCTCGGGTTTGGGCCCCATCCACCTTCATTTATGTTTGGAATATACGTGGGCGGTGATCCCCATCCGTCCAGGTTGTGAAGGTCCGTTGTGGTTTCGTGTGCCCATGGGGCAGCAATGTTGATTCCCGTGTTGCTCTGGATAATGTTGTTGTTGTTGTTGTTGTTGTTCATATTTGCATTATGATAGTGGTTATTTTCTCTCCTTTTCCTTTTCTTTGTCTTCTCTTTTATATGTTTTTTTTCTTTTACAGTCTTTTCTCTATTTTATAATATGTTCTTTTTGAAGTGTATAAATTCTTTTTTATACATATGCACGTTTATATTTCAGAGTTAATTTTCTATGAACGTCCTCTAGTAGGTCGATAGCTACTATCTCTTTTCTTCTTTTTCTTTGTTTTTCTCCGATTTCCTGCAGTTTTAGTCCTTCTCGATTTCCTTGCTGCGGCATCGTCTGTGTTGTTTCGTCTTGGTCTGATTCTGATACATCTTCTTGTGGTGGTACTGCATCGACCTCGTCGGTAATGAGGTGCAGCGATGCCTGAGATATTGGGGCTCGGTACTCGGTATCAGGTAGGGTATAAGAGCGCAATCGGTTTCCATAGTAGGGGTTCGGTAAGAATCTTCCTTGCATCGTTTTTAATCGATAGGTACCGCGTTTGTTGACCTTGTGAATCAAGAATGGTCCTTCCCATAGATCTTCTAGGCGTCCTGCCCAATTTCCTTCCAAGTAATTTTGATATACTTGAACAGTATCTCCAATTTGGAAAGGGCGTTTCAGTTCCTTGCCTTGCTGCAGTAATTTCTTTTCGATTCTCCGT